TGGTTCTGAACACATTAATTATGAACTGTGATATGCTCTAAACTTCTGCTGTTAAATTTTACAGTACATGACTGATGGTGTACTTCTACGAGAAACACTCAAAGATTCTGATCTAGACAAGTATAGGTATGAAAATATTCACAAATTTACCCCCCCCCCCCCCTATTGTTTTATTATTAAAAAACAGTTATCAACCATCTTGTTTGAAACTGTTTCAGGGTTATTGTCATGGATGAAGCCCATGAAAGATCATTGAACACTGATGTTCTTTTTGGAATATTGAAGAAAGTTGTAGCCCAACGCCGTGATTTCAAGCTGATCGTCACATCTGCAACTCTGAATGCACAGAAATTTTCAAATTTCTTTGGAAGGTAATTCACTTTGTTATCTTGCATTGTTTCTTGTTATTGACTTTTGTTAGACTCAACCTAATTGTGGCATTTTTGCAGTGTTCCAATTTTTCACATTCCTGGGCGAACATTTCCTGTGAATATATTGTGGAGTAAAACTCCAGTTGAAGATTATGTTGAAGGTGCAGTGAAGCAGGCCATGACTATTCATATAACCAGTCCTCCTGGTGACATCCTTATCTTCATGACTGGTCAAGATGAGATTGAGGCAGCTTGCTATGCCCTTGCAGAAAGAATGGAGCAAATGGTGTCATCTTCAAATAAAGTTGTTCCTAAACTCTTGATTCTTCCCATATACTCTCAGCTTCCGGCTGACTTGCAAGCTAAGATATTTCAAAAAGCTGAAGATGGAGCCCGAAAATGTATTGTAGCCACTAATATTGCCGAGACTTCATTAACTGTTGATGGTATCTTCTATGTGATAGACTCAGGCTACGGTAAAATGAAGGTGTATAACCCTAGGATGGGCATGGACGCTCTCCAGGTCTTCCCTGTTAGCCGAGCTGCTGCTGACCAGCGTGCTGGTCGAGCTGGTAGAACTGGCCCTGGTACATGCTATAGGTTGTATACTGAGAGTGCTTACTTGAATGAAATGCTGCCTAGTCCTGTTCCAGAGATTCAGAGGACTAACCTCGGTAATGTGGTCTTGTTGCTGAAATCTCTTAAAGTTGAAAATCTACTTGATTTTGATTTCATGGATCCACCTCCGCAAGATAATATTCTCAATTCGATGTACCAGTTGTGGGTTCTGGGTGCCCTTAACAATGTTGGGGGTTTAACTGATCTTGGGTGGAAAATGGTTGAATTCCCGCTGGACCCTCCACTCGCCAAGATGCTTTTGACAGGCGAACTGTTAGGGTGTCTTGAGGAGGTTTTGACAATTGTGTCCATGCTTTCAGTGCCCTCTGTTTTCTTTAGACCTAAGGATCGGGCAGAGGAGAGTGATGCTGCACGGGAAAGATTTTTTGTGCCAGAGTCCGATCATTTAACCCTGTACAATGTTTATCAGCAATGGAAACAGCATGATTACAGAGGTGATTGGTGCAATGATCATTTCTTGCATGTCAAAGGTCTAAGAAAGGCTAGAGAGGTGAGATCCCAGTTGCTTGACATTCTGAAGACTTTAAAGATCCCCTTAACCTCTTGTTGGCCTGATACAGACATTGTTAGAAAAGCAATTTGTTCTGCATATTTTCACAATGCTGCAAGGTTAAAGGGCGTGGGAGAGTATGTTAACTGCAGGAATGGGATGCCATGCCATCTTCATCCCAGTAGTGCTCTCTATGGTATGGGCTGCACTCCTGAGTATGTGGTTTATCATGAGTTAATCCTGACCACGAAGGAGTACATGCAGTGTGCCACCGCAGTGGAGCCCCAGTGGCTGGCTGAGTTGGGACCCATGTTTTTCTCTGTGAAGGAGTCTGATACATCATTACTGGAGCATAAGAAGAGACAGAAACAAGAGAAAACAGCCATGGAGGAGGAGATGGAGAACTTGAAGAAGGTGCAAGCAGAGTTTGAGAAAGAAAGGAAACAGAAGGAGAAGGAAAAGACAGCTAAGCATCAGCAGCAAATCTCCATGCCAGGTTTACGAAAGGGTTCCTCCACATTCTTGAGACCAAAGAAGTTTGGTTTGTAAATTATGTTGTTAATACTGAAATATCGGCAGACCGAGAAAGAGAAGGCTGAATTTTGATTGTAACTAGATGACAGAAATATCGACAGCCTAAGAAAGCTGCAGATTTATTGGATGGCGGCAGGTACTTGACTGTCTTATAGTATAATTAGAGGATCCTAGACTTGAAATATTTTATATGCTGGTTTAAATGATATCTTTCTTGCATCCTTTATTAGCCTGTTATGTAAAAATAATATCTTCAGCCATTATTGAAAAAGTAGACGGTTTCTATACCATTGCCTGTTTTGTTTCAGTTGAGGACAATCTGTAAACAAGGTAGCTGATAAATTTCTTTCGAGATCAGCACAGGACTGCCAGGACACTGTATTTATATTATGGAAAACAATATCCGAAATACTGATATACCAGTTTTGGTAATAGCATTGCGCTCGTGGAACATTGTCACATCCAATGCAAGTTTTTAGGGTTCATAACTGCAAAAGGCAGAAACTTGCCGTAGAAACAACTCATTATGTATTGTACTGATGTATTCGTAACTCCTAAGGTGCATGTGACCACGTCTAGTATTGATGACCTCATATTCTCCCCTTCCATTGTATTTTATTCATTGTTGAACTCCTAAGCATAGTACTCCGTGCAATGAGAATTGAGTTTTAACTTGTACGTTATGGGGAAAAAAATACAATAACTCTTTGTTTTCCCGATTTTAAATGCAGAATATGTATCAATTAATACTGTGAATTGTTGTGTTTTTCTCAAAAGCAGGAAAAGGAAAAGGAGGTAAAATTGATGTGTTGGTGGTTGGATTCTCTAATTGTTTTTTCACTTTGAAGGTTGTGTTTTGGCTCTATTTTGTTAGTAGGGACTTTGTGGGATTGAATATCATTTTTAAAATTGTGCACAAAGGAAATAATGATTTTCATCTCCTTCTTAACAATGCGAAGAAATGCATCGAATAAACGATGAATTGAAGTGGCTATATTGTCTAATAGAAAATAAATGAAAAAGGTTAAATAAGACAAATTTGTCAGACTGGCATGCAAACGAGCAATTACTTTCCCGTAAGCATTTGAGGTTCTGCAGCCACGGAAAAGCTTTACACCTGAACTGCTTGCTTATGATTGTACATAACCTATATTATAATTTGTCAAAAACTAAGATTTTATTTTTTCCTACGGTGTAATAATAGTTATTATTATTAATAGATGTTTCATATTGTTATTCGAACCGAGCATACAAACAGATGATCATTATAGTCAATATAAATAAAGTGGCTTCCAGTTATCAGTCAAATGAAGGAAAAGTTGATCTTCTTCATGAAACTCTCTTCACCAATTGAATTTTCTGATCATTGATACAAGAGTTATTACTGAGATACAATTGGATTGGTTGGTGGTAATTTTCCTAGGCAATTTGGTTTTTTCGTTCTTTTTAAAAGGGGTGGAGCCTAATTAAGAAAAATTAATGACTTACACATTCTTGAAAAATGAATAGCTTTAAATAAGAGTTATTACTGAGATACAATTCGATTGGTAATTTTCCTTGGCAATTTATTTCTTCCGTTTTTTTTAATAAAAGGGTAATAAAAGGGGTCTGATTAAGAAAAATTAATGACATACACAAACCTTATGGGTAAAAGCATAGATATTAGCTTGTGAATACATTTTCACTTGAGTAAAACAATTAATAGCTTTAATAAAAGGAAAAATTAACAATTTCTTAAAAAGTTATATATAGTTTATGTTATACGAAAGATGTCATTTTCGTATTAGAAGAAAGAATTGAAAGTAGTTAAAGCTCAGATGTAAAATTTTAAAATGTTGATCAAAAGAAACCTTTGAAAATAGTTTAAAGATTAAAAAGCAATAATATTGATGATAATTTTTGTAAAGAAAGTAAGGATGTAATATAAATGTTCTCAAGTTAGAAACAAAGATTAAAATTACATATAAAAGCATAGCACACGCTTGTTTCTTTCATATATATGATCTATATCATGCAGCATTTAAATATATGATCTATTCATAAAGACTTTAAACTTTATCCTTTTCCCACACGTTTTATATGATCTTTATCGTTTTGTTTAAGATAGGAAATAAAACCAAAATCTTATATGATGTTTCCGAGAATATGACAGCTTTTTAGTTATATAACGTTGAAAAAACAGTTAAACATATTTGTAATTTTTAAATTTGACATAAAATTAAAATTTATTTATATCTCAAATTTTAATATATTTTAATTTTTAAACTTTAATAATAAATAGATATAATTTTCTAATATTAATATTTTTTATTCGTCTATTCAAATGATATTCTAAGTTAATATTTGAATTGAATAGTATCAAATGATATTATATCAAAGTTTAGAGTTTAAAATTATTAATTTTTAAAACTATTGTTTTGAAGGGGTTGAAGGTGTGATGTTGTGTTAAGGAAGAAAGGAACCAAGAAAAATAGTACAATAAAACAAGAATCTTAATTAATCAAAGTTGAGTAAACATGATACTAAGAAATGAATATTAAAACAGCATGACAGTGACTGCTTACGTTGTGCGCATTTATAGATTCCATAGTTTGTAGTTGAGCACTAAGGCCAAGTGACACTCATCACAATGTCTGTGAACTTTTCATCCAATAACAGAGAGATAGCCATCTTTTATATTCCTAATATGGACAAGAGCACAATTGTTCATTTGTTGGAAAACCCAACATATTGGCCGAACAGGGAATAATAGATCCTCCAATTCACTGTATCAGATCCTAATCCTTTCATAATTTTTCTTAGTACATGACATATTATTATAAAATGAAAGTTTTAAAAAACAAGTGAGTTGAATGTGTCAAACTTTTCAACCATAGGAAAAGATCACTCTCCCTAGGGAAACATAAATGTTATGCAAAAGGGGATGCATCAATGGTCTTGGAAACAAGCAAAAGGGAAAGAGCATGGAAACAAGGATAATTTATTAAATTTGGAGGCAACCCTATTCTAAAAATCTAAAAATACTAAACATTCATTCATATGTGCAGTTCAGTGAACACAACAATTGATAAGTTTACATTGAACCCTAAAACATATTTATTGTTATGGAAATGTAGTAATTGATACAGGAGTTCATGCTTCGGTTCTTCTAATACCCTGCTTATGACCTGTTAGTTAAAAAAATTTAACCTCAAACTCCATAGACACAAATACCAATCTGGGAACCTTTACCCAGATAAGCAACAGGCACTGGAATTTTTGTTATTCCTGGAAAAGGATGAATACAATACAGAAGTCATGGATCAGGATATACAATTCTGACACAGCATTATACAAGAGAAGAATAATAGCACTTACTGTCTCTGCTGAGCTAGCAGTTTCAATAAATTATGCTCCAAAGTACTGTATCATTTCATCATCACCCAAGAAATCATCTAAATGCAATGGACTGTTAAGTCCTCCAAAATCTAATGACATGCTACTAAGCGGTGATCCAAAGAAAGAGTGATCAATAGGTCTATCAAGCTCATTCTGAAATGCATCTTTACCAAAATATTGCAGATCTCCTCCAGTAATTTCATCCCCTTTCATATGCACAGCCTGTACATGAACTGCATCAATCTCTGGCCTTCCTTCACTGTTGTTCCCAGGATGTAGCTGCTGCCTATGACCAGGATCATACCCTGCTGCGGGATTATAAAGATTATAAGTGGGTTCATGCTGCATGTCAGGGTTTTGCAACTCAGGATAGTGTATTGGCCTTCCACTCGTATAAATACTTTCTGTGGAAATTAAGTTGTTTGTATGTAGATAAGAGTAATGATCAAACTCGGGTGCAGGTAGTTGTGCAGGCACCTCAAGCTCCTTTTCCAGTGGCCTTGCAGCAGAATCTGTCTCATTGGACTGTTCATTTCCATGAATCTGGATTCGTACTACTTCTGCTCCTGTCTGGTTAATATTGAGCCCTTTACTTCTTGGCTCAGCATGTAAAACTTCATTGTCAGATTGTGCTGGTGGTTTGTCAACAGTCCTTGATGTCACTCGGAGTTTTCTCGGTCGCTGCTTAGATTGATCTCTATCTTGGACATGCTTCCTAACCCTGCGCGGGTTAACTGGTGGTTCAGTTTCCACAATCTGAATTCTCCTATCCTCTTTAGACGAAACAGAACCAATGCCATCATCAGTACCATCGACATCATAGTTGCTTGCACTACTAGTAGCAGCTTGCTTATTCTCAGCAGGAACACCAGGTAGCATTCCAGTTACTCCAGATGTACCATTGTCACTACTAGGCTGCCTAATGAGAGCTTCTTCTCGACTTAATACCCCCAACCAAATTGCACTTTCCTTTGCTGTCATCTTGTCCTGCAAGCATTTTGACTGCCGAACATGCCTCCTTATCTTTGCAATATTAGGTGACATGTGCTTTATAACAGCAGTGAGCACTCCCACTTTCCACATCTTCTTCAAATCATGTGGCTTCTTATAAGGAGGACTCTGCCCATGAGGTAAATTCAACTGTGACCACCAATCTTCATTACCAGTTGGCCACCATGGTGGAGGTACACCCTTTTCCAATGGATACTTCCTCTGAGGAGGATCACAATGTTGCATCAAAGAAGACAAAAGTGATCCAAGTGTTGCATCTTGCAGGTCTTGGAGAATGCTCTGCGAGTTACCGTTTCGGCTTTTATCGGCCTCACTCATAGCAAGACACTCAGCTTCATACTTGGCTATAGCTGCAGGGCCATTCTTATCAAACTTTACCTTCTCCTTCCACCATGCTCTAATGTTATCAGAGGAACCACTAACCGGCTTTCCCTTCTCAGGAATGATCCCGTATACAAATCCACGAGCTTTGCAGACTTCCATAAGCTTCAGCATATACTTCAGAATCCCATCCTGTGCTCTTGACATTTTCTTCCTACGAGCTTGATCACTGGACTGCCTTGGCTTTTGCTTCTCTGCAGCTTGCTGAATCGCCAGCTTCTGTCTTTCCTTTAGCCTTTTGAGTTTGATTCGATCCTTCCACATCCGCCGCTCCAATTCTTCTGCTTCAATCTCTTCATCACTGACATCTTTCTCTGCTATATTGGGGCATCTAATATCATCAACTTCTAAATCCGAACTGCAGTTCAACTCATGACCATTAATCACAAGATTCTTTATTATATAAAAAAATCTCTTGGATTGGTTAAAAGGGTACAAATTTGAACTTAAAAAGTGTAGGCTAACTTGGTCACCACTAATCACTGGACACATAAAACTGAACTCCAATGTCCTAAATGACCACTGGAACATTCAAAGTACAATACAAAATGAAACCTTTTCGGATTATTTGTACCAGGATTGGCTAATTAATAACTATTATAACTAACCCTTTATCACCCATCAAAATCACATCCTAATTTCTTCTCCCTCGGACCATAGATTATTTCTATTATAACTAAACATTAAAGGCCTCAATGATCTCCCACACACCTTCCTAAGACAGATTCTTCAGTAAAATTATAGTTAACAATTTGACACAGCATATCAGATTGAAAACCCCACAACCAGCATGAAGTCCCCATAGGATGAATCCAAAAATCAAACTATGTTATGATTGACAACAGCCAATAGAAATTCAAGGAGGAAGGCTATATAAAAAAAAAAATACAGAGAGCATTCACAAATCATAAACCAACAAATATATATCTAAAAGGACTGGGCAAAGAGAAAATATTAAACTTTATTACAGAAGAACATGCAACCGAATTAAACTCCTGAAAAAAAAACATAATAGACACACCAGACATCAGGTCCAATTTCTTCCATTTCGGCCATCTAAATCGCAAAAAGATTTGAACTTTTGTATTCGTTTCGTCCTGGGTTTCCTGTTTTTTTCTTTCTGTTATTGGCGAATTGAGCGAAGATGATAAGAACCCTAAAAGGTTTTAGCTTTTGTGACGAACTATGGTTGGAAATTGGATGGTGGGTTGAGCCTAAAGATTTTGGGGTGAGACAGAAAGGAGAAGAAAGAGAAAGAAAGAGATGAGTGAGAAAGAGAGAGATAGAAGACAATTTTAATTGAAAGTGTGCCATTCAATGTCAAAATTCTCTGTGGTTACGCCTATCCTATGTCCTGTGCACCTCACCCTTCCATCACTCAAACCTTTTATTTTTCTCTTCTCTCCCTCTATCAGAATCCACGGCCTCAATTTTATTAATTTTTTAAAACAAAATTGACATGAACCAATTGCTTTGTTTAAGTTTTACATATTTATATCTACTAATGTTTCATAATTTTTCAATATTTGTATAAAATCTAATAATTTTTATCTTTATTTATACATGATATCGATTCCTTTAATTCATTTCTCGTTTTACTTATCATTTCTAATATCTTGAGTTGTCATAGCATCGTATTAAATATAAATTATTTTTTTAAATTAAAAAAATATCATTCATATGCTTAAAATGTTTCTTGTACTGCACAATTTTTTTGAAATCCTTATATATAATTTAATACTTTTAGGCCTTTTTACATTATTTTTAATGTCTTTAAGTATTTATTGTTTTAATTTCTAGAAACTGAAATAGATTAAAAAGAACATATCTAGAAAGGAAAACAAATAAGCTTTAAGTATAAAAATAAAAAATATTAATAATGTTAATCAAATAAATAATTAAGTCTTTATGACATCAATTTATTATAATTTAAATTATATTAAATAAATATTTATTTTCTACCATTCTCGTGTTAAATAAAATAATAATATTGTGAAAATTAAGTAATTCATTGAAATTTTTTCATAATTAATATTTGGGTTAAATATGTTTTTAGTCCCTAAACTATTGGCCGTTTCTGGTTTTCGTCCCTCTTCCAAAGTAAGGTACAATTTGGTCCTCATTCTTTAGAAAAACGTTCGTTTTAGTCCTCAAAATTTTGTTTTTAGTCCTCGTTTTAGTCCTCAAAACGTTCGTTTTTTCGACTAAAACGAACGTTTTTTAAAGATTGAGGACTAAATTGTACCTTACTTTGGAAGAGGGACGAAAACCAGAAACGGCCAATAGTTTAGGGACTAAAAACATATTTAACCC